CATCAGTTTTGAGAGTCGTGGGTTATGTTTTACAATAAAAAAAGAAAGGCAGTGATCGGATGGCGAGAAAACTTCAAAACAATAAATCATCAAAACTTTTGCTAACAAATAGTGAATTCTTGTGAAGCTCTCAAAAGCTGTGCCATGCTCTTTTTTTTTGTTTTAGAATGCCTATTTTGAGTATTTGCCTTTTACATGCTTGGAGCGTTGCGAATGACTATATAAAAGTTCAGCAGGGAAACCAAGTCTATTTTCAGGCTGTTACATTTTTATCAGTTTGACTGAAATATTTTCTCCCCTGTAGTTCCATGCCAAAAACTACTTTGTTTTTTTTTTCACATTTTGTTAATCTGCTATAAAATGTCGAAAATTTTTGTGCTGTATCATTAGATTAGTGCACACTTCAGAACTCGTGTTTGGTACCAAATCTACAAAGTCACTATGTCATGATCAGAGGACTTGATTTCCCAGAAAGTGCCAGAACTGGGGGGGCTTTCATTTCTGTACCTTTTTTGAATGCCATGAATCTCATCATTTTGATAACTAGGCACGAACTGCCACTGCGCAAACAATTGTAAGCACACATGTAAACTGGGAAAATTTCACCTCAGTCTTCACTTTGCTATATTATTTGGTATAAACAACGGAATTTCATATTGTCATTTCAAATTTTATTGCCCGAATTGTACTTCAGTTTCACGGTTTTTTTTTCTTGTACATTACAGCAATTTTGAACGATACTCATCTTTTTTCTGAAGTGCCTGTTGGGAACATCGGTGTCCAGTTCTCCAAGGGTAATTTGCCAAACACATGCTGTGTTTAGCAAAAGAATGTGTTCGCAAGTATGTGCATGAAATGACATGGTCTGGCTGGAAAAAGTGGAATGAAGAATTTTTTATTGGAATTTTAAAATAACAAACGTGTAGATAAGGACACAGGCAAAGCAAATCCATGCAGTCCAGTGGAGTTGGTGCGAAACTTTGCTCCGGAATAGCCGGTGATATCCATGGCATACCGGGCAAAGGTGGCGCCCGTAACTGAAGAGTCTGCTGCTCGAACAGTTGGAAATGTCTCCGTGAAAGCACATCCAAGCTCACAAGTTGCATACAAAAAAACTGAGCTTCTGCAACTCATAGAATTATATTCCCCATTTTTATGAATTTTTTTTTCCAAACTTACTGCCGTAAAAACTTATGGTGTGTGTTATGTTTCAGTGCATGTGGGTGCTCGTCTGTTCTGGTTTTTTTTTTCAAAACTCGGCAGGCAAGCAAGCTTCAGCGCTGAAATTTTGTCAATGAGTTCCCCGGCTAAATGCCATCCTAAGAGCGCGGTACCGACTTGCACATACGTTTGAGCCCCGCACCAGCTTGGAAAATTTTGGGGAGAAAATTGCTAACTCGAAAACCAGAAAAGCTGGAAAGTTGAAATTTAACGGAATGTTCCCTGTTCAAGTATAACTTCTAGATTTCAAATTCAGCCCAGACGTA